CCTTCCCCTGGGCTGCCAGAACCTATCAGTGCCCTTGCAGCCCACTTAGGGGTCAAGCAGGGCTGGGCTGCCACTTAGTCACCGAGGCCCAAGGCCGAGCCAGCCTCCAGGTATGCAGGGGTCATGGCTATGAGCAGGCAGAGCCCCTCAAGGCCACAGAGAGTGGGTGACCCAAACTGGGGACAAAAGCTGAGATGGAGGAAAGACAGACTGTAGTTAAAACCAGCAGCCAGGAGCCCAGGGTAGCCCAGAGACTTGGGGGAGCTTCTGGATGCCAGGCAAGAACCACTGAGGAAAAACTGAGGTTAGCAGATGCAGCTGGAGGGGAACAAGCCAGGTTACCTGGGGAAGGGAGGAGCAGGCAGAGCAGGAAATCGGCAGACTCAAGCTCCTGTCCCAATGCTCCCGCCTTGGGTGAGATCCCGCCCACAGCAAGAGAGGCACAGAATCACCCACTGTGGATTCCAACACTCAAAGGAGTAGCATCTGCTTGGGGTCACCCAGCAAAACTGGCACAGTCAGGAGCAAGAGGCTCGGTCCAGGAGGCAACCGGGTCCAGGGAGCCGGGGACCCAGAGGCCGGGGTTGGGGCAAGAGCAGGCCAGTCTTCTCTCGACCTCCCTCATTCTCTCCTGCTTCCGTCCACAGGATCCCAGGTACACACACTCAGGCAGAAACAAAAGCCGCTTCCTTTTACACAAGAGTCTGAACCTGGTGCTCCCTGAGCCTCGCAGCCTCCACTCAAACCAGGCTGTAGCTTACAGCCTTCCAGTCCCATTCACAAAAAAAAAAAAAAAAAAAAAGGGAAATTGAGCCCGCAGGCCAGGGCCAGAACCAGTCTGGGGTCCCCAGACCAAGGCAGCTCCCTGAGGCAGGTCATGAGTGGTCATCAGTACCCTAGTCAGGTGGGCGAGGTAGCTCAGGAGCTACCAGGAAGCAGGAACTGGGGCTGGGTGGCAGTTCATCAGCAGGGCATCGATGCTGCTGGTTCCTTGGCTCACCTGCATGTGAACTTCTGGCCAGGCGGGCATACTGCCAGTGCTCTTCCTCAGACCCAAGCTGGGATCTTCCTCATACAGACGAAGCAGTGGCCAGGTCAAAGTCACCCAATGAAGCAGGGCTGAAGGTGGCTGTCCTTATCTAGAGAGACAGCCATGGTGCCTCAGTTTCCCTACCAGTCAGCTCTGGACACTCCACCAGCCAGAGGCAAAAGAACCCAGGAGAGGGAGCCCCGATGTGGCAGCTCCTCATCCTCCCACGCCTGTCTCAGCTGTTCAAGGGAAGCCCCCAAACCCCTGCCAGGCTTGGGTCCCCGTGCTCATCTCGCCTTCTGGGCTAGTGTTAGTGAGCCGTTGCCATGGATACCAGTCTCAGCTTCTCTGGCAGAAAAGGACTCCCCCCCAGGGAAGGGCTCTGCTTCTCCTCACCAGCCTCCACCCCGCCCAATGCAAGTGCCCAGTGCTGCCACCGTGGGCTGGATCAAAGGAAAGAAAATGGGTCTCAGGAATGGAACCGGTGGGGAAGGACTCAGAGTCCTTACACAGTCATTCACCAACCATAACCATAACTGAGGCCCCGCTCCAAGAACACAATGCTGCTGCCACCTACACCCTCCACCCAGCTTCCACTCTGCAGATGGAAGAATGGGGGCCCCCGGGGGCAGAGGTGGCTTTGGCACTAGGAAGGAGGGCTGGCAGGCAGGGGGCCTGAGCAGTCCCTCTGCCCCCTCTGCACCTTGGCAGCTGAGTGGGCTCTAGTGGGTAGGAGCCAGGGAAGGGATAGGGGGGACCTAGGGCAACTCAAACCACTAAACTGAACTGAAACACTGCCTGCCCAGAAGAGCTCCCAGTTCCCAGGCCAGCAATGGGGGAGAAGGGGTGCACCCCTACCCCCTGGGGCTGCAGAGAGCGCTGCCTGGGGTATGCACACCAGAGCCTTTCTCCTTTGTATGTCAGGGGCTCCCCCATTTGCACCAGGAGGCAAAAGCAAGGGGCTTGGACCAGGTACATGGGCTACAGTGGCAAGCCATGTCATCCACTTGCAGCCACACTCGTCAGGAAGAACCAGGAGAACCCAGCCCTCCTCACCTGCTTTGACGGCTGCCCGCAGGGGTTCTCATGGGGAGGAGAAGAGGCCATAATTAGCTGGATGTCTGGATGACTGGCAGGGCAGCCATGGGAATCGCTTTACCCCAGGATGGAGAAGGGAGGGGTTTGCCAAACATCCCGGAAGGCACGCTCATCAACAGGGGAGCAGACTGGCAAGGGCAGCGTGGCTGTGGCCAGGGCACAGCTTGACAGAGAGAGCAGGGAGGGGAAGGTGGCGGTGACATCTGTGACGCCTTCCTCCCAGGTGTTTCAGATGTGTCCGCCCCTTCATTTTGCTCAGCCCAGAACGCAGACGGTGGAGATCATCACACAGAAGGCGCTGGGGACAGCCACAAGGGCACACAGTTGGTCTGCCACACAGCCCAGCCTCAGGGCCCTGGCACTACATGCCCTAGACCCACAAGGTCCCCTCGGACAATGCTCCCCGCTGCTTGTGACCTTGACAAGCGCCGTGAAGGTAAAACCCACCCTGGCTTTTCGTGTGCAAAAGAATGCAAAACAGCCTACTCATAATTCTCATGTGGATGACATGTTGAACCACATTCACTACACTGACTTAACTAGAATATACTCTGAATTTTGATGAACCTGTTATGTGTATTTTTAAAATTATTTTTAATCTGACTACCAGAACATGTGAAATTAATCTGTGGTGTGTATGAAATTCCCTTTGGACAGAGCTGATCTCTACTTCAAAAAGGAGGAGAGAGAGAAATGTACATGAAGGAGGGTTTAAAGAAAGAGCGAGAAGCCTGCTTAATGCTTGGTCAGGGAGCTGGGGCTGGGTGGGTTCAACACATCCCAAGTAACCAAGCCACGCCCTTCCTGCATCTCCACCTCGGGCCTGCTAGGCTGGTCGGCAACAGGTGGGTTGGGGCCTGAGATGAGCATTCCCCTGCCTCTGGCACAAGACACATCAAGCCCTCATAGTTACCATGGAGATTGTAAATATTCCTAAAAACTGAACGTGGGGTGGGGGGGATGGGGAAATCTACTATAAAGAAAGAGCGAGAGAGAGCCAGGCTTATCCGGAAAGGAAATCTGTATGCCTCGTGTGTTGGGGGTGGGGCCGGGATGGCGGGATGCAGCGGGCTGTGTTTGCACAGGGTTTTCCGGGCTTTCCTTTGCTGCCCCCACGCCCCTCTTAGCTACTGTTCCCACTGCTCCTGTCCCCCTTGCCAGTGACCCCACAAAACTCCTATACTGTTCTCCCATTCTGCCACCTGATTCCAGGACTCCTGCTCCCAGCTTCTTCCCCTGACCCTGGCAGAGCAGCTTGCTCTAAGAACGTCAAACAAGGTTGTCTGGGGCTGGAAAAAGCAAGTTGGAAAATGACATGGCACCAGAAGCAGCTCCACTCTCTCCACCAGAGGCTGCCATCCTTTCTGGCCCACTTTGGGCAAGGGCTGCCCTTGAGCCTCAGCTTCCCCCTGCATGTGCAGAGGCTGGCTATGTACCAACTCCAGGTCCCTGATGTTCTCTGACTGCCCCCCACAGGGTGACACCTAAGCATTCAGGTGCCAGGTACCCAGACACCACAGCACATGCACCACAGGGTACACTTAGAGGGGCTCTGCACTCCTGAAAGCCATTTTGGGGGCCCCACCCAGAATCTGATGCTACTTCCACCTTCTTCCAAGTTCTCCAGTGCAGGGAGGAAAAGCCAGAGGCTTGGGAAGCCAGACCAGGGGGAGCTGCACCAGACTCCAAAGTGTACTCAACAGAGGAAGAGGAAGGAAGGCTGGCACCCAGCTGACAGGAAGTCCATGCCAGGGCACTCATTCCTCTAGCATCTGAAAAACATTTTCTGTCTCTCGGGCAGGTTCTGGGCCAGCACATCAGGTGCCCAGTACTGCAAGGAGCCTGCACCTAAAGCCAGCCCAGCTAGGTTTCTTCCCTCTCAAAGCTGCACCACTGGCACGCAACCTGGGGCAGCACCCCAAAACCCCCTGAGAAGCCCCAAAGGAGAACAGCAGAAGGAATCGCAGGACCCCAGCCAACTTAAGAACCAATCAACTCATCAATAGGCAAAGACATGTAAACAAGCGGAGACCAGCCCAAGGTCACGCACCAAGTGCCCTGGGGGCAATGTGGAACTGGAGCCCCAGTCTTCCAGGCACCCCAAGCTCCAGGCCGTTGGCCAGGGACACTCACAGGACGAGGCCAACCTGCTCCAGCCGCACCCCCAGCCCCAAGCCCTAGCGAACCCGAGAAGACGCCTTCAGGCCTCGGGCCAGGGCCAGCTGCAAACCGCATCCTCGGTCCCCAGGCGCCGCGGACCCGCCCCGCCCCTCCCTCGCTCCCCGCAGGCCCGAGCCTTTGTCAGCCACGCGCTCACACACACAGCGGCGCTGCCACGCGCGCACACGCCCGGTCTCCCAGGCGCACACCCGCAAGGGGCGCACACACTCGCCGCACGCACGTAGAGGGGGGTTAGTGGAGGTGGTAGCAGAAGGAAGGAACTAATGGGCCCTGGACCGACAGACCGCCTGGGCCGGAGGACGAGGAGGAGGGACCCGGGAACCTGCGGCTGCGGCGGGAGGGGGCGCGGAGGCAAGAACACAGAGACGCAGAGGAGAACGGAGGAGGACAACGGATGGGTGGCCAAGGCTGGCGAGGACGCGCCGGCGGATCCAGGGGTGGGGACGCCGCAACCTTTGGCCTTTGGAGAGAGTGGGGCGCGGGGGGCGGCTCTGGATTGGCTCCTGGAGCTCGGGGACATCACTTGTCCTGTAGTACCTGGACGGGGAGCCCTTAAGGGACTGACTCCACGTAGCGCTTGGGCAGGAGGGCCTGGAAACCAAAACCCCCCTGGGACTCCTTGCGGTAGGGGGCGGGAGCGAGGATAGGTGAGGGGTCCCTGGTCCTTGGGCTGGGTGGGGCACTCGCTCACCTGCCACGGTGTACCTGTCCAGATAGTTGAGCACGTTACCCAAGCTGAGGATGGCAGCGGCTGCCCCTCGCCCGCGGCCCAAGCTGGCCGGTTTGGGTTGCTGCGCGCCGGGGCCCTTGGAAGCGGCTGCGCAGCTGGGGGTGCCCGGGGAGCTGGGAGGTCCGGACGGGGCCCTCCTCACGCTGCCCGACAGCGTCTGCACCTCATCGGCGGCGGCCACGACTCCTCCAGCGCTGCCCGCGCCCCGTGCCCCGCAGCAACCGCCACCGCCGGCCCCTGGCTGCGCCCCCCGGCGCCGGCGCCGCCGCTCCGCGTCCGCCTCCTCCTCCTCCGCGCCGCCCGCCGCCGCCGAGGCGCATTCCAGGCACATCATGCCGGCCGGGATCGGGGCGGCGGGGGGCGCGGGGGGCGCGGGGCCCAAGCCGGGCCCGCTCAGAGCGTGCGTGCGTCGCGGAGCCGCCGCTGCACCATCCCGGCCGGGCCCCGTCGGCTCCTCGCTCCGGCTGCGGCGCTGCCACCGCTCAGCCCGATGCGCCGCCTTGGCTGCCGCGGCTGACAGCTGCGGCTCGGCCCCGCCCGCAGGGCCCGGGCCCAATCAGCTCGGGCCCGGGCCCTGCCCCGCCCCGCACGTGCTGCCCCGGGGGGTGGGGTGGGGTAGGATGGGGTGGGATGGTGGGGGGAGACCTGGCTAAGGGCCCCTCCCGCCGGACGGGGGCGCAGTCACGCTGGACCCGTGCGGTCGTGGTCAGCAGCCGGAGCGCCACCGGGCTCACCCTCCACCCATCCTAGGGGGACTCCTAGCAGAGACTGGGAGAGAGGGCTGAGGGCTGGAGCCTAGGCTATTTGAACGACCTGGAGAGAAGGTTGTTCTGGACCATCCATGGTTCCTATACTCACATGCCCTGCCTTCATCAATTCCGGGGACGGGCACGAGTGGAGGAGAGCTCTGCGGTAAGAATCGAGAAGTGTACTTGGTGAGCATTGGCCCAGGACATCCCAACTCCAGGCCTCGTGCTGCCCCTGTGCCCATCCATTCCCATGAGCACACGCAGACTCTGCTCCTAGGCCACAGAGGGGTACCTGGGGTTTAGCAGTGAAAACCAGGACTCCCATGAGGACCCAACAAAGAAAGAAGTGTCCTCCCCTGTCCACGGCTTGGGCTACCAGCTGTGGGCCTAGGGGAGCTGTGGGCCTTGCGGGTAGACAGGCGGCTGGATCCCTGCCCACTGTGCTATAGCATGTGGCGTCGCCCTGGACAAGACACCCCACTCTGCCAGGCTCCCATCTCTTCTGGGTGGGCCTCAGACACCATCGGAGTGGGACATCTCCTTTGTAGTCACTCCCTTTGGGTGGGCGGGGAGAGGAACGGGGTCTCTCCTGTGTTGCTGGCCTCCACGATCCCTCTCAGAGGTGTTGTGTCCTCCCCGCTGCCCTTGCTGCCCTTACCCTTCTCTTCGGGGCTTTAATGGATAGTCAAAACCTTCACAAAAGCAAAGTGCAGAGAATAGACTTCTAGAATTGTCCAGAAATCAGATCATCGCTGCCTGCGTGCCACGGGCAGGTCCCAGGGCACGGAAAGGACCCCATTGTTTGTCAGAGGCAGGGTAGAAACTGACCGGGTTCTGAAGCCAGCCTCCAGGGCTGGGAGCTCCCATCCCACCGCAGGCTGGCCAAACCCTGTGGCCACCGGCAGGTACATCATGTGAAGGTGTCGGCCACAGTGAGTCACGGCATAGCCAACCGGTGACACAGCACGAGGCACCCTCCGCACAGTCTCTTGTGAGCAGAGTTAATCCCCAAGCTGGTGTTTCTTGGCGCCTTCGAGGTGTATTTTAAATTCTGCGAAGTAACTAAAAATATGCTTCAGCGTGTTGGGCATGAATGGCTGTGACAGGAGGGTTAGGAAAACAGATTTCATTCTGAAAGTTGCCTGCTGCCTCTTTCCAGCTTGCTGAACTCGGGTTTGCAGATAACAAGGAGCAAGTTCCATGGGGTGGTCTGGGATGACAGGAAGCTAACAGGCAAGAACACAGCTAGGAGTTCTTTGGGGCTGGAAGGGGGCCCTGGCCTTGACCTTCGTAACTGTGGAATGGTACCAGCCAGAGAGGGTCATGTCCAGTGGAGGAAGAGAAAGAGGCATGACCCAAATCTGAGGTTCCCTCCTTCTCCCCAAAACCATCCTGGCAGCCGCAGCCCTGAGCTGGAGAAGGAAGGGAGGGCAGTTTTAGCCTGGACTTAGAGAATTATTTTTGTTGGCCGATGCTTTCCAGCACTGCCTAAGTCCCAGGGTAAAGGAAGGGAATGGAGCAGAGGCAGGGTAGTCTTTGTGCTGCCAACAAAGCCCACCACCCATTCCCAGTGTGTGAACTCAATATCAATCTCCCCCAGTGCGCCTTTATGTAAAGTTCAAGAGCCACCATGGGCAAGGTGGTAGGACAATGAGTCATTTCTAGCTGAGTGACCCTGGGCAAATCAACAGTGGCCTTTTAGAGACTCCTGGCAGTGCCCTTGGACCCTCAGCAATAGGATGTGCAGGGTTTCTATCACCATCTCACTGATGATGGAGCTGAGACCCAGGAGGAAGAATGAATTTGGCCAAGGTCACATACCTAGCGAATGACGGAGCCTGGACTAAGCCTAGGTGTGTCTACCACCTAATCCAGCACTTCCTCCACAGCCCCACAAAGCCACCGTCGGCTTCTGCAGGATTCAGTTTCAACATCCACATCAAGGGAAGCTGAACTCAAGGATGGTAACAGGGCCTTCTGGTTTGGCCACTTACCGGATCTGGATCATAACCTCAAGACCAGTGGGCCACAGGAAAGTCATGGCCATTCATTCTAGGAGCAGTTCAATGGTAAGGGTACTGGGGAAATGGTGGGGTGACCAGAAACAGGGATTCCCACGCTGAGACTTTCAGGAGCCTTTGCTGTGAGAGGGTGGGTACACGGTGAGTCTCTCTGAGGGAAGTACCGACTGCCACCTTCCTGTGTACTTGGTTGCAGAACATCTTGTGAACTAGGGGATGCATGTGCTCCCCCACAGCTGGTGACTTGCAGTCTGGTGCTCCTCCCCTGAGCCCATTGCCCTGAATGTGAATGTCTTTAAAATTCAGGCCTCAGCTGCTTCCCTAATCATGTGGCAGCCTCACCCTGGGCCACCGCTCGTGCACACCTGCCTCTCAGGGACCAACCAGCACCACTTGACACGGCCTCCCTCATCTCCAAGCACCAGATCCACACACATCTCCTGCACAATCCCCCTGGATGTCCTGCAGGCACCTTAAGGTCAGTGCACCCAAAACACAAATCATCTCTCCCCTGAACCTGCCGCCACCCCCATGGTGTTTATCTCTTGACAAATGGTGCCGCCATCCACATTGTCACCAAGCAGGAAACCTGGGAGCCATTTCAAGCTCTTTCTCCTTCAACTCCCTCATCTGGAGCCTGTTGATTGTTTTCATCAATATCTTCCAGTATTCCTATTGTGGCTAACATAACTCAAACCTCTCTTAGACAACTCAACAGCACCTGCTCCTGGATCCCACTTCGGTCTCCTGTGCATGCCTCTTGCCAATAGCTCTCTAAATCACACCCATGACCCCTTCACTGCTGTACAAAATGTCCCCATGGCTCCCTACGGCCTCTAGGATCAACTTGATCTCCAGGACTCCCCTCGGCCCTTCAGGACCCAGGAGAGTCTCCAGCCTCTTCTCCCAAAGTTAACCTCCACCACCCTGAACCTGGAGTTCCGTGAAGTAGCACACAGTGACTGCTGGGGTAGGGCAGTTGTCAACAGCCCCTGCTCTCCCTTGTCCCAGTGATGGGTCAGGTTCAGATTCAGGACCACGGAGAGCGTCACCCAAGCCACCCCCTCCAGGCACCCTTTAGTCCTGCGGTGTCTCTGCTTGCCCACCTGGCCTGTTCCTCCCTCCTTGAACTTCAGAAACCACACACAGACACTATTTCCTCCAGGAAGCCTTCCCAGACACCTGACCACCGGTCATTTCCTCCTCTGGGCTGTTGAGTAACCTGTGTACCCCTTCCACTCATTATGCTGATTATGTTTGTCCAAGAGTCTGCTCCTATCCACACATCCAGACAGGGAACCTCAAGGGCCCATACCCTGTCTGATTCATCGCCCCGATCCAATCCAGAGGAGATGCTCAGAGAATGTTTGTTGATTGAATGAGTAAATGACATTTAGCAGGTGCTCAGGAAATGGGTGGTGATTTGCATCAGGAGTCTGCTACTGAGTGACTCAGAAACCAGCTAGATCCCTCTCCCGGCCCCTCAAAAAAAGGCATTTTTTTTTCCTTCCCATTGCCTCCGCCCTCCTTCAGCCTCCACCTGCTGTTCGCCTCCACCCTTTGATTAGCCTTCCCCACGAGTCGCCACCCACGGGTGTACTGCTTCTGCTCCTGCTGTTGCCAAGCTAAGGGCTTGTGAGAACCCCACTCCCACCCCCAGCCTGGGCCTGCCTCACGAGTTTTGCTCAGAACGCTTCGTCTCTGCCTCCCTCCCCGTTTCAGACAGATGGCTCCAAGTCCCCACCAACCCGACGTTCCTGTTCTGTCATCTGAACACTGAGAATGCCTTCTAATTTCCAGAAGCTTCAGTCTCCTTCAAGTGCCGACTCAGGCAATCAGAAATGAACTTCAAGAACATGGAGCCTTGCTTCTTCTCTGCCTCATGGAGGGGCCGCCTTGGAGACAAAGCCTGTGACCTGCCCCAGGTCATTGCAGTAGACACCTCATTTGGGGATTTGTCACTTCGTTTTGTTTTGATGGTCAAAATATGCACTCCCCTTCCTAATGGCACTCGACTTTCCAGATCTTCACACTGCTATAAATCAAGGACATGGGGAATGGGATCCAAGCCAGCCCAGCTGGACACTCTTGCCCAGGGCTCTAAATCTTGAGTAGGTGGCAAGAGAATAGGGAGAGAAATGTGTGGCACTCTGGCAAAGACTCCTCATGCAATAGTCCAGAAACCCTGGCTATTCAATCTTCCCTTCCCATCACTTCTATGGGCTCCTATTGTGCTTCCAAGAAATCCCTTTTCTGTGGAAGGCACTGCTGTGGTATGCAACCTACAACCTAGATGGATGAGGCCTCGCAAAAGGAGCACTCATGGTCATACACCCCTCCCCAAGCCACCTCGGCTGCCTTCTCGCAGCTGACAGCAGAGGCTGCGCTGGCTCACGCCACCCTGCATGGCCACCCAGGCAGGCAGGACAATCACACACTTGGGCAGGGGATGATACACAGAGATCCACACTATTTAGTGTTGTGGGGAGCAAGCCAAGATTGAGGTTCAGGAATCTAGATTGCACGTGTTATGCTACCCTCAAACCTTAGATCAGAGTGGAAGTTTTCCCAACACCTCAAAAATCCACACTTTGGTAGGCTCACGCACCAACACAGGTGAGCAGGTCATGCGCAGGCACATGGACAGACATAGCTGCCTGCAGGGTGATACCTGGGAGCGGGGACGGGATGCTGTGTGCGTGTGTGTTTGTGCATGTACGCAAGCAGAGCAATCAACACACGCAGGAGTGAGGGCAGACAAGAGGACGTGTCCTGCTGGGCAGCATTTTTTCTTCCTGTTGACATTCCCAACAAACAGGCACAGAGCCTTAGAGACAGGGATTACCCAATAAGTGCCCTTCAGGCTGGGAGGATGGGTTCTATTCACCTGACTCCAACACTCCAGCCCAAGTCACTGGGCTCTCATGGCTCCTCTACCTGCGACCTCAGCCCACCAGGACTGGCCCCAAAGAGCTAAGCAAAGCTGGGGCCAGGGCTGGCTGCCAGGGAGCCACTGAGCTCAACCATTCCACGGGGCCACCTGTTCCATGGTTTACCCCACCACCCACACCTTACCCCTACACCACTCTGGACAATAACACCCTACAAACTCCTGGCTGGGTACCAAAGCCCCATGATACCTGGGAAGTTCCTCCTTGCCTTTTCTGACATCCAAAAGCACTTCAACCAGAAGGAATGACCCTGGATTTCAAGATGAGAGCCCTAGCTCCTCCACTGGCATCTAAAGTCCTGCTGGTCCCCACCACTCTCTCCCACCTCCTCTCCCCACTGAGGGCACACACACACGCTTCTCTTTGGCCACCCCATATCCCTCCATGATTCATGGCACACTGCCCCTTCCCCTGTATCTCTACCTTCCCTATCCCCTCCGCCTAGAATTTTCTTCCCCAACACCTACTCCTTTCCTCTGCTACAGAGTCACCTCTTGGAAGGCTTCTAGGGGGAGGAAGGACATGGGATGTGTGATCCCTTCCTCTACCCACGAGTGTGGCTCACTTGGCCTAGCCAATGTTTCCCTGCCCTGCTTTGGGCTTGAGGTCCAAGGGCAGGGTTAGAGTCTGTCTGATACAATGTCTGACACTTGGGTGGGTTCACAGTGATCCATGTTTATAGAATATGCATGAATGAGGTTTGGACTCTGCCTCCTAGCTGCCAGGACCCTGGGCTGGTAGAGCGAGTGGTGGAGGGGACAGCTGGTGTGGGTGCTACACCTCCAGGCATAGAGATTCTCTCGAGGCCTGGCCTGGAAAAGCCACAGTTGACACCACTCTCAAATAGAACCACTTGGGGTGGGGGGGAGGTTGCAGCTCTGAGACAGCCAGTGAGACAGAGGAACCAGGACATCCCAGCTCTAGCACAGACTGTCTGCCTCCTTCTCAGGAAATCAGACATCCACCTTGTCACTTGGGTGCAAGCCCAATCCATGAGCTCAGAGAGCCAATGGTGTGCACCACCTGGTGAGCCTGGGGACACCGGCTCCTAAGGGACAGCGGGCTCCAGGGGAGCAGGGGTGGACTGAGCAGGAGAGCCAGCTCCTTCAGCTTGTCACAGTCATCACTGCAGCCAGGGAGGACCCTGCAGGAGGCTGGGGCTGTGCACGAGGCTGCATCCCTGCTCTGCCCCCACAGCTGCTGTGAGGCAAGTCCTGCTCGGCCCAGTGAAGGCGGCAATCACAAGTGAACAAGTGATGGCCTGGCGGGGCTCCAGGGGAGGGGAGCACGGGCTCAGGGCTCACGGGCAGGCAGAACATGCCTCCCCGCTGCTGCCCGCCTGGAAGCTGCTCATCTCCTGCAGGCCGCTGAGCCGAGCCACTCTAATCCAGCAGCGAGTGTGGGTCCCGCAGAGCTGCCCACCCTCTCCCCTCCAACAAGGGGAGAGTCAGAGGGCTTGGAGGGTGGGGACCGGTGGAATGCAGACCAGAGCATGGCCAGCAGTGTGCGTGATAGCCACTAAGCCCCATGTAGTTGTCTCTGTAGTGTTGGGCGAATGCTCCTACTTGTGCAACTCAGAGCCCCCAGCTCACACCAGCAGCCAAGCAGAAACCCACCTCCAAACCACTTTTCCTCAGAGATGAAGTTTTCCCATAAGGGTGTCCTGAATCCTTATAACTTTACAGATCGTATACACCGGGGCAGAGTGAGAGATCCAGGGTGGGGACACCCCAACTCCTCCCCCGCCCCCTATGCCCTCCTCCTTCCAGTAGAGACATCGCAAAGCTATACATCACCAAATCATCAAAGCGCCTGAAATCCACAGGCTTTGCACCAGCTGCACTTTAATCAGGGCCTGTCAGCAGCCAGGCCGAGGACCCCAGCCTGGAGGGGCCTTGTGCTGGCAGCGGGCACAGGCACAGGCCTCCCACAGAGGGTGCTGACAGCTCAATTCCCAGCCCAGCCACCAGGCCTGCCAGCTCTCTAGCTGAGAGTGAAAATGCAGCAGGTGCCACGCGGCCGGGCTCCCCGAGCCACAGCCAAAGGTGGGCGGAGGCACTGTCAAGGATGGGGGCCATGAGCAGGGTGTGGCCATGGGAGGGGGCCTCAGTACACTTCTGTGGGGTCACCAGCACTAGGAAGCAGGTTTTGGCGCTCTGTGTTTTTGTCATCCAGGGTCCCTGTGGGAGGAAAGACGTTCAGCCATTCGCAGAGGCAGAGGGTGCTTGGGGACTGGGATGGGGTCCAGTCCATTGAGAAACCCTCTGAGCTCCACTTGTGAAATACATGCCCAGCTCTGACCCATCCTCAACACCCTAAAGGCTACCACCATGATCTTAGCACCAGTGCTTCCCCCCTACCCCACCATGATTCCAGAACCTTCTATGACCTGTCCACTGCATCACTCACTCCCTAGAAGCTCTCAAAGAGGCAGCCAGGACCCGGCTTTGATGGTGTACACCAGATACCTGGACTCTGCAGCTAGAAATCCCACATGGCTTAACCCCCCAGCCCTCTCTCCCTCACCCATATGCTCACACTGTCCTGCCGTCCTCATCCCTGCCCAGCCACTGTGGCCTCTTCCTGGTGCTCAAATCTACCAGGTACATTCCCAGCCGGGGGCCTCTGCACCTTCTGCCTGTAGCCACAGGGCTCTCCTCCACCCCCTCACTTCCTCCAGTTCGCTGCTCCAGTATCCCCAGGGCAGTGCAAGGCTCCCTGACCACTAAGAGCAGGTAGTTAGCCTGGCAGCCAGGATGCTCACACTCTACATCAGGCATACACTCTATGCTCATACATGTTTCTCTTCCCTCTCTTTTCTCTCCCCGCTCTTTTTTTTTTTTTTTTTTTTTTTTTTTAAGAAAATTGGGGCTGACATTGTAGAATGATGGGTTGAGCAGGCATCCCGTGTGAGCACCAGTTCAAGTCCTGGCTGCTCCACTTCAGATCCAGCTCCCTGCTCATGTACCTTGGGAAACCAAACCTATGGCCTTCCACCTTGAGGCTACCTGGGCCAAGCTGCTGGGCCTGAGCCTGGTCTTCCTGTAGGTGCAGTGAGGCTAGCAAGAAGCAGCCGCCGCCCAGGACGATGACAAAGGCACAACACAGGAAGCTCTGTTGCAGGCTGAGGAAGCGCTGCAGGTAGGAGTCGGGGCGCCGGGCACGCAGGACACTAGAGATCTGCAGAGGAGGGAGTCGGGTCCAGCCAGGGCAGCCAGGCCAGCGCCCCCAGCCCTGCCCACCATACCCATTCAGACACGCCTTACGAGTCCAGTGAGGTAGGGGCTGCCAGCGTCCCCCAGCATGTGGCCCACTGTGATCTGTAATGCCTCTGCTGTCCCCCGGCATCTGGGCGCCACCACGGACTGCAAAACACAGGAGCACTGGGGAAGCCCATCCAGGAGGGCCCACCTCATGCCCACCTGCCAGGAGCCTGCCAGGCTGGCCAGGACAGCGGGGTGGGAGGGAGCTGGCAATCCCTGGAAACATCCAGCCCTTCAGAGGCTCACAAAGCCCCTCCAGTTCCACAGGATGGGGAGGAAACCAAGGTGCCTGATCTGGCTTGACAGCGAGGTGATGTTCAAAGGGAGCCACTGTGCTGGAGAGGCTTCTGCCCTACCATTGAAGAGGGAGGAGATGAAGGGCAAGAATTTTGGAGTCAGGCACAGGTGCAACCCTGAGCAAGCCTCTTCACTTCTCTGTCCAGACAGAGACAGTGCTGGAGACTACTGAGAACGTTATATTCATTGCCATCACTCACCTGGTACCCAGGGGCTCTGTGGGGAAATTGGACTGCAGAGACGCAATGTCACAGGCCATTTAACCCTGCTGTGCCTCAGTATGGCCCTCCGTCCCCTTTCTGACCTAGGCTGGAGCATGTCTACTGGTCATGTAGTGCCTGCTTTTGGGTCACGTCCTCTGGGAAGCCTACTCAGAGGTCAGGCACCTGCTCCAAGCCTCCACTGGCTCCAGGCATATCAGAGGAGTCCAATGGAACTTTCTGGGAGATTGGGCCCAGGAGAAACCCTGCCAGAACTTGAGCCTCTGTGCAACAGGGTGGCCACAGGAGGGCTTGTTCAGCCTGGAGTCATAGCTCCGAGACTTACCTGTGCAAACCTGAGCCCAGGAAAGAATCACAATCGTCAACATTGGCAACATTCACCAAGCACTTCCTATGCATTTTCTATGTCAATTCCAGTCACCCATGAGGGTGATGTGATCGCTTGGTTATTCTTTACAGATGAGAAGGGCCTCCACTTTCCCAGGCTCACCTAGCCTCCCCTCTCCAGGCCCCAACCATTCTGCTCTCATGAGCGAGGAGGGGCTGGTGTTCCCAGAACACTGCTGTGTTGGCTGTGCATCACTTGGAAAACAGAGAGGAAGAACAGAGGGGCCAAGTTCATCATTGGCTCCACAGACAGGAGGGAGAAGAACCAATCAGCAGGGTAGGGACATCAGAAACCAGGGCACCTTCCATGGGCTGCATCTACCCAGGTGTAGAGGCAGCAGCCCAGAGGACAGCAGCTGGGGGTCTGGAGAGAGCGACAGTACTGCGGCCCTCAGGCACCGAGCCGCTTCGTCCAGGTGGTATGAGAAGCTGGGCCTCGTGCCCATGTCTGTGACCTGGCCACAGGCCCGAGAAGGGGCTGACCACAGGACTTCCTTCTCACCCCATAATTATGTGATTAGTCACCGGTGGCTCCGGAGACAGGCAGAGCTTCCTAGAGGAGGGAGGTGGCCTCTGCAGGCCCCAAAAGGTCCATGGGGGTGGGGGCAGGTGGAGGGGGGCTAACTAGTCTGCTGGAAGGTTGGACCCAAACCTGCTGGGCCTGTAATGGCTGCTGCTGCTACTGCTGCGAATGACAAAAAAGAAGCTTCCCGCTGTACCTCCCCCTACCTCACCTACTGCCTGCCCTGGCTTCCTGTTGATATATACCAGGGAGTGGGGACAAGGCTGGTCTCAACAGCAGCTGGAGAGCCCAGGAGGTCATTTTGGAAATGAGAGATATTTGTGGGTTCCCAAAAAGCCTGGCTCACTCTATAAGGAGACCATAGCATCTGTGTTTCAGGCTCTGCCTTCTCCAAGGAACCCTTTATAGTCCAGGGCAAGGCCAGTGCCAACCAAGGGCTTGCAGAGTCACTGCGTTAACCACCAGGTGCACACTCCCTGGCAGCCTGCCTCCTCCTGTCTTCCCTGCCCAGCCCTGCAGCCAGACAGCCCTGGGAGGACGAGACAGACAGGGGAGTCAGGGCAGAGGCTGGGTGGGGAGGCATGGAGGGAGAAAATGGAAGGGGGGCAGGATAGGGTGGAGTGGGAGTGGGAGCCCAAAGGGACAGGGACAGAGGAGGGATACCCCCTCTACTCCTCACCCAGGAGGCTCCAGGCCAACAGCAGGAGTGGGAGAGAGCTGGAGACCCCGTGTATAGATCTAGGGGTCAAAGAACTCAGTCTGGGGAGACTGAGGCTGAGGAGGTTGTGAGAGGTGGGTCCTGGCTGGGCCTGAGCCCCAGCATCCCCACCCACATGAAGTGCCCAGGGAGCAGGGGTGGCCAAGGATGCCGGAGTATGTGCCCCTTGGGAAGGAAATGGGAGCTCGGGGCTGACGAGGGACCATGCAGAGGGCTGGTGGCCCAGAGCAGGAGCTGGCTGTGCAGCCCCGTGTCCCACAAGAGGGCTGTGAGCACCAGGGAATCAGCAGCCCTCGGCTCATTTCCCAGGAATACAGATGTCTAGGTGCCACCTGGAGCCACTGAACCCAGACTCCGAGGACTGCCGCCCAGCAAGCTGCCCCAGCCCAATCCTCAACCTCACACACTGGGAACTTCAAGGGCCCTTCCCCAGGAAGAATCTGCATTCTCTTCCTTGTAGATAAGAGGCAGGGCTGATCTGCGGGCCAGGGAGGCCCAGGCCCCCCACCCCAGGAATGTGCATGAGTCAGGAGGTCTCTCATTGTCCCCTGATACCTGATCTATTGAGCTCTAAGGACAATCAAGTACCAGAGAAATTTAGTCACTTGACCAGGGTCACACAGTGGAGAGAGAAACCTCCATCTACAGCTCTGTTGCCCCCAGAGCCCATCTGCCAATTCTGTACCTGTTTTCCTGCTGGGCCCCTCTGGGCTCCTTTTCCAACCCAGAGCTGCCCAGCTGAAGCCTCCTCTGCCCTCAGCTCCCTGCTGCATTCCTTCTGTACCCCTTGCACCTCCTGAGGTCTCCCCTGGCCAAAGGGCAGCTCACCTCCGACTACAAGAACAGGTGCAACTAGCAAAGGAGGCCACTGCCCACGCCTGGCCACACAGTGTGGTCTCCATACCCTGCCGGCCCCTGCCAGTTCCAGGCACTAACCCCACCCATCCAGTGTCCAGCATCCCTGTCTGCATGTCCCTGTCTGCCACATCTTGAAAAGCAACACCAGCCTTCCCAGGATGTTCTATTATGTCCAGGCGCCTCTTTCTCTCACTTCCCTCAACCATTTTAAACAGGGCAGTGGTCTCCTACCTGCCCCTTGGGCTCAGATGGCCCAAGTACAGCTGGGGGCTTTGGGAGGGGAAGGGAGTCACCAGACTTGGTGGTGTAGGTGGCCTTGGCTCAGCTGTGGGGTCTGCAGGAGGCCTGGGATGGGCTACACTTGACCCAGTCCTATTCCCTGAGCAGTCCCCAGATGGGTCCTACTATAGGCCCCTTGCTCCCCTCTCCCTCCTGCCAGCACTCACCCCTCTAGAGCGCTACAGGGAGCCTGGTCCTGGCAGGTTAATCATTCTTGCCAACACAGACCCTGGGAGCCATAGGCACGGTCACTGCATATCTGTGGGGTTGTCATGTGGAACAGGGAGCCAGCCACGCCATGGGGGGCAGGCAAAGGAAGCTGCAGGGGACAGGAGCTCCCTCTGTGCCAACCCGCCTGAGAGAGCATGAGCTATGTTGGGGGGCAGGTTGTTCATCACCCAGCCTACTCAGCAGGTGGTGGCTGCCCATTTGTATAAACAAGGACTGAGGCCATTCTGTGGGGCTGGGCTGTAGTCCAAGTCTCCCCTCTGGAGGGAGAGCAGAGATGACCCACTAACCCTCCACGTGACTAATCAGGAGCCCTGGGCCATGGGGAGGGGCAGAGCATCTCAGGGAGTGAGTGTCCCATCAATAGCCGTCATCAAGGTTGGCCCATTAAATGACCACACATCACCGCAACCCTGTCAGAGTCTCGGAAGCTGGGATTTCATGGGGAGACAACAGATGCTAGGAGAATCCTCGGCAGCTTTCTCTATGCCAGGCACACAGGGCAAAAGCTGCATTTGTGAATCTTGTTTCATCCTCAGAACAATGCGTGGTGGGGCGGGGGCTGGGAGGGAACTTCTCGCATCATCCCCATTTTCCATACAAGGAAACTGAGGCCCAGGGACCCAAAGAGACTTGCCCCAGGCTACATAGCTAGCAAGAACCAATGAGTGGCAAGGAGACTCTGAGCTGCTTCCTGAGATCAGGCCCCCACCCCCACACTGCATGGCTCTTGGGGGTGCTCTTGGGCAGCTACCAGGCTGCTCGCAGGAGGGCACAGGGTCTCAGGTGCCCCTGAGGAAAGCAAGGAGCTCAGACACAGAACATGAGGACCAAGGAAGGGCCTAGTTGGAGTCTGGACAGAGTGGGGTTACCTGGTAGAACAGGGTGACCCAAGACAGCCCTGTGCACAACGGCCTGGGCAGGCCTGACCTTCCTGCACTCAGTGGCTGATGGTCAGAGGGCATGATTGGGTGTTGACGGGCCCCTGTGGTCCAAGGTCACTTGGCTCTACCCAACCCCCAGGCCACTCAACAACTGAGCAGGCAGACCCCAGCTCCCCTTCCTCAGGGGTCTCTGGGTTAGCCCCCCACCAGCTCCTCCCCTACCCCGTGACACTTACCAGCAAGATGTCGGTAACCACTGCCCAGTTACAAGAGAGAAGCAGCTCTCCAAGGGCCAGGAACACCTGTAGACAGAGGGTGGCAGGTGAGACACACACACCACTCCCACAGCAGAGAACAGGGTGCCACGGGGCAGAATATCGTCAAGACTCGTAAGGGGGTGAGCTCACTCCTGGATGGACAAGCGGACTGAAACCCCCTCTGTCTCTCCCTATGCCTCTAGAAGAAAGTAGATTTTTTTTTTCAAGTTTAATTATTTCTATTTGAAAAGCAAAGTTACAGAGAAAGAGATCTTTCACCCACTGGTTCACTCCTCAAATGATCACAATAACTGAAGCTAAGCCAATCTGATGCCAGGAGCCAGAAGCTCCTTCTAGTCTTTCACGCAGATGCAAGGTTCAAGACTGTGGGGCAGGAGCTCCTTCTGTACTGCTTTCCCAGGCCATAAGAAGAGAGCTGGATGGGAAGTGGAGCAGCCAGGACACGAACTGGCACCCATATGGGATGCTGGCACCACAGGCAGAGGCATAGCTTGACATGTGCCACAGTGGTGGCCTCTCAAATAAACTAAATGAAAAAAAAATATATATATATATATGGTGAGTGAGGTCTGAAATTGTTTTTCCAGCAGTCTCAGGGGTATATGAACAGTTCCAGTCAAGCAACCTTGATCCGGAGGGGGGTGTCAGGTCCTGGGCCTGAGAACAGCAGCCTCCCTCTTGGACGACTCCCAGGGTTCAGCCCTTTTGTCACCCACGGGGCATCACTAGGAGCCACCAGGACTCCCAGCATGCTTTCACAGCAAGGGAGACAGGCTGCAGGATGCCTCAGAGGTTTACTCCCTGTGTCCTGCCCAGCCTGTCCAGCCGAGCAGCCCTCCCAGGCCACTCTCCTCCATGCCTGGAGCAGCCCCGGCAGGTGTGCCAGACTTTGTGTACCCATTGCACAGACAGTAAAACCAGGCCAGGGCTCCTCTGATATCATCATAGACGGGCCCCGAGCAGAGCCAGCCTGGAACAGAAGGTTTCTGGTCCCCATCCGGAGCCCACCCCCCTGCCTTGCTCCCAACATCCTCCCGGGAGCCACAGACTGCTGTGGGCCTCTCCCTGCCTCCCTGACCTCCACCTCGTGCGCAAGGATTAGACAATCTTCATTCCCCTCACTCAGGAAGACTTTAATGAAGCAGCGAGAAGAAAAGACAAAGAACAATCTCATTTCTCAGGGCTCTTGAGAGCTTAATACTGGGTGGAATTTAGCCATTCCTGCAGTCACGCGGCTGAGCTTGTGTCCGGGCTCAGGCACCAGAAAACCCAGATGTTCAGAGGACCCCGAGGGTCTGAGCTCCCTACTACATGCAACCTCTCCTGTGAGGTGAGCAGGTGGGGATGCATGTCTGCATCCCCATCACAGACAGGGAACTCAAGGCCAAGGTATGCGTCAGGTCACTTCCAGCAAGGTCCATCACCCCACCCCAACCCTCAGGGCTGGCCTGTGCCTGGTCAGGAGGCCACCCGTGGACCCAGGGGAACCTGGGCTCGAAGGCCAGGAGGGGAAGGGAGGAGCTGGGAGATGATGCGATGAACATAACACTGCCCAGGCAGTCAGGGTCAGGGCAGGTCCAGAATGGCGTCAAGAGCACAGACCCATGCTAGCAGTGCTGGGCGGGGCTGGCCCACAGCCGACTCCGATGCAGGAAGGCCAAGATGCTGGTGTGTTCTCTCTACCTCTCTGCAGCTGCAGCCTCCAGCAGCTGGCATTCAAACTGGGAAGCTCTTGAGGGCAGGGCGGGTCTCCCTCTGGGCTTAGGATAAGGGCTGGGCAGCCACAGAGATGGGAATCCGGAAGTCGCAGCTGGGCAGGGCCTAGGTGGGGTCGCCCCGGCACCCCGCAGACCCGCATACCACTGGGGCTGCGTGCACCGTCCACCACCCTGGTCTTCTCCCTCCCTGGCCCGCAAAGGTCAGGCCTCTCTCCGGGGTCTCGCACCTGCAGCCTCGGCCCCGCCCCTTCCCGCAAACAAACTCCACCCCCAAACAGGACAAAGTGAAAATACACCTTTTCCTTCCTCCAGCTGCGGCAGGGTGGATCCTGACCCTAAAATAGGCCTCGGCAGAGGGAGGCCACAGCCACAATGGGGCGTTTCAGGCCACACAAGCCGCCCGCCCGGCGATGCCAGCCTGTTTCAGACACACCTGGAAACTGGCACCGCTTGCTCCAAGGGGCCAAGGGCAGGCTGTCGGAAGGCTGCCTTCTAATCCCCTAATTACAGGGGTAGGGAGGCAGGCAACGGCTCCAGGAAGGCAGCTCTGTAGCCAAAGGGTGTGACCCCCACATCCCGGGGGGAGGGGGCTGAGGAGCGAGATTCCATGCTCCCTTGCTGGGTGACCTGGGGACAGGGGACACTGCCTATGGGAACCCCGCCTCTGGGAACCCCCCAGCTGCTCCCCTGAGCCTCTGTGCACTGTAGCCCCACTGCAGCTTCAGGGCTAGTATTGACCACCCCCACAACCCTTCGTGCTTGAGTGTGACAACTAGAAGAAAAAGCAAAGCCAGCCAACAAGGAGTGCCCTGGGGTGAAAAAATTCCCCACCTAACCAGACCTAACCTTGTGTGGGATCTTGATCCTGCAGCTCCAAGCCCCTTTCTAGACAACCCATGACACCTGACCCAGCCTGGGACCCCCAACAACTTGTCTCCCCATCCCCTTCTACTCTGCTTCACTGTCCCTGCTTGGCACGGCTAAGCTCGGACGCAGGCTTCGGACCCACTGGCTGCCAGCAAGCTGCCTATCCCTGATTCAAGGACAGTCTCCCCCTACCTGGCCCCCATCACCCAAGCCTGATGCCTTGCTCACCCTCCCCGATTCCTGTCCAGCTGCATCCAAGATGTCCTTCACGTGGACCTCAGGCTCCGTCCTCTGCTCCCAGGTCCCTCTCTTGCCTGCCTCCCTACCATTTTTTCACTCCCACCCCCAGCCACTGTCCCCACAGACACAGCCCTGGAGGGGACTTCCAGAAGGGAAATGGGACTTTGCCCTTGCCTGTGTGTGCCTCCCTGCATCCTGACTCAGTCTCCTGCTGGGATCTCAGAGTCTGGGAACACGGCCCGCCCGGGGCCTGGGAATCCTGGAGACACCACCCCCGCCCCTAGCCCTGCCCTCTGACATCTGTAACGATTGTCCTGGAGTTGGAGCAGAGAGGGTGGACATTCCTGGCCTGCACCAGCCCGAGAGAGAAATGTCTAAAACACACACACATGCTTGCACACACATGCACAGCTACATTGCACCAGGCCTTACACACGTGCACACTCATAACCTGGGAAGTACATCAGAGACTCACATATTAGCAAGTGCCAACACACACAGCTAACAAGGATGACATACAAGAAGATTCAAGGGGCAGGCACCTGGCAGGGTGGTTAGGATGCTGCCTGGGGCCCACACGCCATATCAGAGCGCCTGGGTTCAAGTGCTGGTTCACTTTCCTGTTGGTACACACCCGGGGAGGCAGCAGGTGATGGCACAACTATTTGGCTCCCCGCCATCCACACAGGAAACCTGGATTGAGTTTTGGGTTTCCAGCCTCGATTATAGCGGGTATGTGGGGAGCAGGCCACTGGATGGAAGATATCCTATTGGAAAGGCAGATTTACAGAGAGGAGGAAAAAGACAAAGATCTTCCATCTGCTGATTCACTCCTCAAATGGCTGGAGCTGCACTGATCTGAAGCCAGGAGCCTCTTTCTGGTCTCCCACATAGGTGCAGGGTCCCAAGACATTGGCCCATCCTCCACTACCCTCCCAGGCCATAAGCAGGGAGCTGGAAGGGAAGTCGGGCATCTGGGACACCAACTGGCACCCATATGGGATGCCAACACTGCAAGACTGAGGATTAACCAGTTGAGCCATGGTGCATCGCCCCCCTCCCCCACACACCGCACTTTTTAATGTTTAAGTATGCGAGGCTGAGGTATTACCTAGACAGTGATGGTCATTGCTGGCTTGTGGGGGGGGGGGTATGCCTGCTAAGCCCCAGCCTAGTACATACCCAGGCATGCTTGTCATCTCACAAATGGCCCAGCAAACTGTGCACATGGAGATGGACATGCACTCGGACCTTCCCACAGTCCTCTCCTTTCACATGCACCTGCACACCCTGGTAAGCACAGGGAAGAAGGAAGGGATAAGATCCCTGAGCCACAGACGGGTCAGCTCCTGTGGGGTGCAGGGGCTTGCCTTCAGCTTTGGTCCATCTGTTGGATAACTGCACAGTTTTTATTCAGTGACATAAATAACAGACTCTGGGCCCCACAGCAAGGAGGAAGGCAAATGTGCCCTGTAGGTTCGTAGTCTCTGGGACAAAGCTAAGACTTGGTCCTCCTCATCCCGGACTAGCTCCTTGTCTGGTATGGCTGAGGCAGTCAGGACATGGAGCCCTGGGCACAGGCTGGCCGCCAGCACACTGCCATACTGGCTGGCACACTTCACCTTGGGACTTGCCAACCTGTAATTGCAGAGACTGGCATCAGGGTACAAGGGCATCACTAGGGGCCGGCAGCAACCCAACAGCCGGGTAGGCAGACAGGTGGGCACTCAGGGTGCTACGGGGAGGCTAGGCCTGCAGAACCAGGGCAGGAGGCCTCTCCCAGCCCCTCTGAGGAGGTGGACCTTCCCCCAGAGGTCTCCTGAGGGTCTCAGCTGAGAAGTGCGCAGAGCTAGGGCACTCACAAGGCCACCCCACAGAGTCTACAGGCTCGCCCTGAATCCCTGGTGACCCTTGGCCACTATGATGGTGGAACACATCCGGGCTCATCCTCCTGTCCCAGATCCCCATTTGGAAGTCTTTGAGGAGGAGGAGAAGGGCTGCATTTCTGCTGGCTGGAAGGTACTGGGTCTGCCACGTTGGGACAGCACCACCGCCTACTTGGGCAGGAGGCACTCAGGGTCACGACCACGTCTGGACTATGAGGGGCCACCCCTGGGTAATTATGGGGATTGAGGGCCTGGCGTAGTAGCCTAGTGGCTAAATCCTCACCTTGCATGTGCTGGGATCCCATGTGAGTGC